TTGTAGCTGCACGAGTACTATCAGGTGTGCCATCGTACGTAGTCACTTGTAGGTACCCGTTAGTAGGCAAGTGTTTGATGTTATGTGATTGCCAGTACTTCCTTTGAGTGAGATTCCTGCAGCTGTGGGGGTCTAGTGTTGAGCTGCACGAGACTATCAGGTGTGCCATCGTAGGTAGTCACTTGTAGGTACCTGTTAGTAGGCAAGTGTTTGATATAATGTGATTGCCAGTACTTCTTGAGTGAGATTCCTGCGGCTGTGGGGTTCTAGTGTTGAGCTGCACGAGACTATCAGGTATGTCATCGTAGGTAGTTACTTGCTAGTGCCCCGTTATTAGGCAGTTGTCTGAAGCGATGTGATTGCCAGTGCTTCTACGGTTGTACCTTTTGCAGCCTGGTGTTGAGCTGCATGAGACGTTCAGGTGTGTGATCGTAGGTAACCACTTGCAGGTGCTCTTTTCTAGGAGGTATATGATACAAAAGTGTTATTCATAGAAATCTGACACTGCGTAGAAACTGTTAGTAGTTGTAGAAACTGTTTGTAATATACACACGCATACACTCGCACTTAGTTTGGAGACACACAAATGGCTTGCTCTCAGACCACCATCCACCAACCTAGATGGTAGACACGCCGCTCGCCCAATGCTTAACCGGTATTCTAAAAATAGCGTCCAATCCAATGGCGTCAAATCCTTCCCCTCGCAGATTGCTGGATCTTATGGATGACGTGTGTAAGGTGTCTGACCAGGCCTATATCATGTGCAGTGAGAAACAGTATTTCCTCGCCGCCCTTTTACTGTCGCAAACACTGGGGTACATCGACAACGACCTCCAGGTAGGTGGGTGTATGGCGTACGTATTTCGCTCGCGGTTCGTTTTCTGCCTACTGGGCGTGCTGGCCTTCTGTATGTGTGTAGAATGCTATATACAGTCACAGCCGTAGTACAGTTATTACAACTATACGATACGCTAAACATAGCAAACACACACACACACACACACACGCATATATATATATATATACAACACCTTTCCACCGCATCTCAGGACGTGGGTGCACTCTCCGAGATTCGCCAGGCCATTCAAACGCAGCAGACAGCACTGTACGATGTACTCGTGGACCAACTGCACACACAACTGTACATGAAATGGCTCAACACAGACACCCACAACAAACCAACGGAAGGCACCGATACGAAACCCAAGGACACAGCCATGGAGAAGTATGTGCACGCGGGTGGTGTGGGTATGGGAAAGGCACACGCTGTCATGATGTGAGACTCGGTAGCTATATATATTTTGGAGTTGTTGCAACGTATGTGTATCTGTATATTGGTTATGTGTGTATAAACGATAGTCCATATCCTACTGATCGAGGTAAGGGGTTTGTAGCAGAGTATCTGCTATCTATTTAGGCGTATCGTCTTTCCACATGTCACGTCCTTTCTCATATACCTTTTGCTTATTTTAGACCAGAGAAATTGCCCTTTTTTCAATTGCTGTATACGTGTCTGACCCCTTCTTAGTACGCAAATACTGATTTTTCGGGAAAAATTGGCTTCGCATTTTGGAATACGAATTTTCAATAAATTTAACCAACAGATCCGAAGACTTCTGCGCGAAATATAAAATTTGGTTTCATATATCCAAATACCAATTGTTATGCCTTAGGTTTACGGTCACACCGAGCGTGTCTAATAAAAAGGACTTCACATTCTAACTGTATGCCCTGATGCCGAATGCCCCAATCTGTGTAGTATGAGCACTCACTGCATGCATACCTAACCCTTAAATCCTAGAACCCTATAGCCCTACCCCATTCTCACGGTATATATGTACTGCTATGACCAGGTTTTTGGGGTTGCGATAGTCCCTATGCGCCGGAAGTCACATGACCCAGTAAAGCTACGGCTTTGTGTAGATCTGTATAGAAATATGCATATGCTCATACTGATGCGCCTGTTTCATCTCCCCAGTGACACGGAGCGTGTGTTCTCAGCGGGGGTTTCTAAGGTTTAAGGTTTTAGGGTTTAGGTTTTTAGGGTTCAAGACTCGCATTCTCAAGCTACACACTCTTACGACCAGGTTATCGGTATCGCAATAGCCCCTGCACATCCTTGTACCAGCCGTCACACGGCCCAACAACGAGACTGTACAGTGCAGTACAGTAGAAACACATGCCTATGCGCATACTTATTTTGTGTGACATGTCTTTCATACCTTCCCAGTGGCACACAACGGGTGTTCTCGGCCAGTTCTAAGACCATCAGCTCTCGTCTGATTCAGAAGTTTGTGGCCAGTTCCATCTACACTCCCCGCATGAAGCGATGTCTGCAGGATGTCGTGGAGATCAATGCACAGAACAGCAAGAAGTATACACCACTTGTGTGTGTTTATAT